TAGAAGGGGATGAGTGGTCAGCATCACGTTCCGGGTGCAAACTCACCGCCGTGAGATCCTCAGATCTAAAAATTCGTTCTGATTGTGATGGCGAAGAAACAAAATCCTGCTCCAACGAGAATCGAACATTGGTCATACAGCTTGACACCCGAGATTCCGTAATCTGTACGGCGTAACTTGTTCTTGATACGACGAATTCCAGTGCGACGACGATCTCCGCCGGAAGTTCATCACTCTCATACACGTGCCATGAATCCGACTTCTCTTCCCATCCCTTCCACCTATCACCTCTTCTTTCAGTGTCAAGCAGGTGTCGACTTTGCGCTGATGACGCGTTTCCGGTATTTATCATCACTTAGCAACATCAAAAATAGATTGTATTCATATATCTGCATACTTTAACAAGATTTCAAGGTAACGAAACATTGTGGCTGCATTCATGCTGCAACTTTACTCCTCCGGACAACCATGAAACTGATCTGATTACTTATGTGCATTATTATAATAATTATTGTTGGTATTATTCATGTTGTCCCGCGCGGTCTGGGGCTTCATGCTTCGGACCGGTGATACGGAATGCGCGCTGGTTCGAGTCTCCGGGGAGAAGAAATTTCTCATGTGATTTTCGACCGGTGCCAACCCACCATCGTGAGGAAACTGGGGAGCTACAATAGGTAGCGTAATTCAGTCAGGAAAACTAGCAATGGCTGTGGGTTCGTCGTGCTGACCACACGTCACCCTGTATCTGATTGGATGATCGTTCATCTCTGCTTAGGCATGTGAACGTGAGGCCAGCAGTCACAAGCTAGTCGGCTTTGGCTCTCTGGAGCTGTTACGCCACGGATTATTATTATTCATGTTAATGCCTGATGTTTCACTTCATCAAATTTTCTGATATTTGAATTGTAACACTTTTTCCCCGCGGTTAGTTAATTCAGCGAGACGGGCTGATACGGTTTATCTGTTCTCGTTATTCTCGCTCTGAAGCTGTCACATGCAAAGTAAAGTAAAGCTGACCAACTATACGCCATGTAGGCGCTTGGGGGAAAGAAGCTCCTACTCATTCTTGAACTCAGTACTAGAAGGGGATGAGTGGTCAGCATCACGTTCCGGGTGCACTTTACCCCCTGGAAAGGATCCCGGTACCCATTGGATAGGAGGCTGGGTGGGCCCCAGAATCGGTCTGGACGCAGAGGCTAGAGAAAAAATCCTCTTCCCCCGTAGGGGATCAGACCACTATAGTGACTGAGCTATTTTCAGCCAACAGACTGTTGAATCTGTAAATATTGGCAATATTGTTCATGTATTTAATGCATGTCAGCACCGTCCTTTCATTCTTGCATGCCGCTCAAAATGTAGATACCTGCAGCAACACCTGACAAACATAACCTAACTACGTCTACGTGCTTCACTTACCTCGAAATTTCTACTTCACAAATGAAACGCAGTTGCGAATTGATGAATCTTTCTTCCCGTAATCCCTCAGCAAAGCACCGTTTCAAAAAGTCCAAAATTAATCACACTTTATACACTCTATCGGACGTACAAAATTATTACCGCCTTAATGAGATTTATCGAGACACTTCGATACAGTACTTCGTAGTTGAGTGAAAGAAGATACTGTAGACATCTAGTGCTCGAAGTAAGAACGAACTGTTAATAAACTTTTTACCCAAGCCCACAAGCCAGATTAAATGATAGAAATTTTTCAGCTCTGTAAAACAGAAATTATTTTTCGATAGATCTAAAATCCATTCTATTACCTAACTCTGTTGGTTGTTTTAGACCGCGTTAGAATAAAATGTTCCATCACTATTTAATGCACAGGATATTTCCTGGCCCTACTAATCTAGAGTACACAGTTTTATCAATTTCAGAATACATTGCGAACCATTTGGGGTGGGGGCTAAGACTGAATTATTCCTTGGTACCAGAAATTTTAAGTAGAAAGCCACAAATACGAAACCCCACTACTGGGCACCTCTTAAACCATCATTATACAAACATTAACATTAATCATAACACCATTCTCATCTTGGACCTACATGCCCATTGGTCTGACGTGAATTAAACATTTCCACTATGTAGGGACAATGCATGTCTTAACAGGATGATTATCAATGACAAATGTATTGCAAAGGAAGCAGAAAATAGTAACCAGCCTGATTTTGAAGATACTATCCCTGCATATATCTCAAAGAACTGAGGTAAAGAACCTGTCATAGCCAATCTTCAAACCTCACACATAAAGCTTGCTATCATCACTGCACAAATGTCTCAAAAACATCATTCATAATTTTCTTTATTGAAGCTTGAGCTTTTGGATGTGGACATTTGTCTCCACTGCTACATTCTAAGGCTGTGGTTACACTGCAAGCAGATCCAACTTACAATGGCAAAATCAGACTCCCTCCGACTAGCTGAACAAAATGAAATCTTCCACTGGTCACACTGGGTCCTACAGACAAATCTGAGATAAAAGAAACATATTTGTTTTCCAGCCACCTAGTCAGGCAGTACTTCAATTATTTCACTTGTTCACAGGCGTGTACAAATTCTCCTTGGGTGAAAGACGTGCACCACCAGAGAATGTAGTGGTTAGGGTACATTATGGACAGACGAGTCTGCTGAATGTGCTGTTACCAGTATTAAATAGGTCCATTTTGGGCGAGGGGAATACATTTTGTATATGTGTGGAACATTAAGCATATGGGAAGAGCCTCATCAAATAAATATGTACCAAAAGTCTTCTATATTTAGAGGAATTTCACAGCAGTTATGAATTTTGGTCCTCCATCATAATTTTGTATAAAACTGGTAGGAATAAGAACATACCAGCTACGAACCTGTCAGATGACACCACATCTATGCAAGTTTCTTAATGTCCACGCTAAAAACAAGAGATATAAATATTAAAGCCGAACACAATACAAGACTAATATCTGTCCAACAGACTACAAGCAATAAGAATATTGAAGAGACAATTTTAATTTATAACCAAACAAACTGGACATGTCTTGTTCTGTAACTCAGAATAATGTGAGGGCTGGCAGCAAACAAATAACAGGATAACACAGAACTACTGGCACACAATGTCTTCTCTAAACCTTTCCGTTATCACAGGCTTCTCCATACTCAACAATACTTTTTGTTACTATTTCTGTGTATTCTTAACACAATTAATAAAGGAACTGTTTCTGTCAAAATTAACTTCATATTATCTTAAGCTTGAACTTCAGTTATGCCATTCATGGCTATGAATTAAAAACAAAAAATTACATGCCACATGCCATTTCTATCACAAAAACACACTATCATGTAGAACAACTGCCATTTTAAAAGCATGTTTAAATGAAGTTATAGCTACAATGTCTTAACGCAAAATGTTTCACTTTTAAACAAGTCTCTGGAACATGGAATGAAGCCAACTGAAATGTAGCAGTCACATGGATATTTAGTATGGTCAACAATATCCACAATCCTGTTTTAAGAAGACACTGTAACTTCCATTATAAATATGCTTCTTTTGCAGTTAATTAGCATTAGTAAATCAGAATGATACAATGGGTATGACAACAGTCACAATCATAATGATAAAAGGAACTATGCATTAATAAAAAAGTACAAAATCTGTATTTGTATAAACATTTGAACATTTTCCATGAATTCACTCCTCACATAACAAAACACTCGAGTCAAAGTCAGTGCTTAATTATCACTATCAGAAAGCCACAGTGCTTGAAATGTCAGTACAATCAGTACAACTTGTGAAGTGCACTTCTCAGTAAACTCTCTTATGGTAGGTAACATAGGCTCTTTCTGTTTGAAGTATAATATTTATATGTACCACCTTTGAGACTGCTGCTCCTATTAAAAGTGCTGCTAAACATATCACAGGAAGCTCTAAAATAATAGTAAAGATGATGACTTGTTGGTCATCATACCATTAACTGTCTCTTTTAATGCCAACAAAAATATGGTAGTAAATAATATATTTATATGGTGAAAATATCAACTGAACATCAAAGATTGTTTGATACAAAATACTCTTTGTTTAATGCATTCCTAGGTCATTAGCTGAGTACATGTAAACACTCAACAAGCTTAATGTAATTAAACATAGGCTCAGCATGGATGTTTCCAGACATTTTCAAATAAAAAATAAAAAACTGTTTATTACTAAGTGCTGGAATGGAAGTCAGAAGATGTATCAAGTGATTTGCAACATACAAAGAACAGTCAAACCTCGGTTCACGAACTTAATTCGTTCCTGAAGGTCGTTCATAAACCGAAACTATTTTCCCCATAGGAATTAATGTAAAATGGATTAATCCGTTCCTGGACTCAGATGATTGCTTATTTAAAATTTTACAACAATACTTTGTGCACAAGTTCTTAACACAAAATCAATGGAAACCATTAAATCTCTCACAAAT